CAAATTATTCAGAGTTTATGGCACGAAACGTATATCTCATTTGCACTGGTGTCTCGATTCAAAAAATTTGGTGACTTGATATAAAATTGGCAATGGATACAAGCACTTATACAAGTAATGTCACCCCTATTCTTATCTGCTTGGTACAGTTTATAATACAGTATACGAGACTTTCTAGTCAGAAACAATTTCAGGGCGAAAAAAATGGAAGAATTAAGCAGTCTGCACGTGTGAACTGAAACTTGTATCTCTCTGTATATGTTTGTTTTAACCTGTCTTTGATCTCTTCCATACAATAACCGTACCATAGAAATCGGATGATGCTAACAAGTTCTCTCCATGGTTCCAAGCAACACCGATAACCGGAAATCGATGACCCTGCAGTCACATATATTTTGGTCATTTGGGTCCAAATTGAGACTAGGAAACCATTAAAGCCTTGTGTATGAATATGATGAACCTGTAGCTTGTTTACACATGTATGCTTTGGGCGAGTTAAATCATAGAAGTACACATTTGAATCCTCACTTCCGGCAACTAGGGTATTTTAACAGCATGGCAATGTCAGTAAACACACACATAAAAAGTAGTAACTGCAAGACAATGTCAGTAAACCCACATAAAAAGTAGTAACGAAGTATGTGGTAGCATCGATGTTGACATACATACCTATATATTCTCCTTTTTCAAGAGAAAGCAGAGGGCAGAAAGAAGCCCGGATGCTGTATATCCGTGGATTTAATTTGAGTGAGCAGCGGAGAGTCAAATAACCCTGTATTTCCAGAGCAACACTACAACATACCAATCTTGCTGTCAGTGCTTTAAATAAACAACAAAAGTAACAAGGCATGTTCTGTGACCAAACCTGAAGAAAGACAAACTTCCATCTTGAGTACATGTCAGCAACACAGGGCCCCGAGCCAACAGAGAAAAACTTCGGTACTGCACAGTTGTGACTGGAGATTTGCGCCTGATGCTACTTCGATGGCGATGAGAGCGGGATAATACTCCTGTGTGAGAATTCATACTTACTGAATAGATACACCCCTGCAACGAATTATACAATGGACTATATCAGTAAAAGGATATGCAAGCCCATCAGAAGGGAACTTGAAATAAGTATATGCAATGACACACCGTCGCATCCCCACAGAACATGAGCTGTCCAGTGTGAGCATAGTCCATGGAAGTAACCTCACTGTCAAAAAATATTTTATGAATGATCCTCCCTGTGCTGAAATTGAAAACCTGATATATCGATGTAGAAATGCCACCAATCAAATATAATGATAATGTCCTTGAAATACAAACATTACTGGAAAATGACGGCCAAAAATTCGGCTGTGCATGAACATAGGGTATCCAGAACCTAAGTTCTTTTCCTTTCTGAAGAAGCAAGATGCAAAGGTTTCAGTCATTACCGTAACTTCTTTGTCTGCATTGCCAACTGAAAGGAAGTTGTTATTTACCTACATCAAGGAGATGAAGAGAAAACCAAACCTTAAATTGCACTGTTGCATATCATGTTTTGAATAATTATAAAAAAACGAAGGCAAATAATTTAATTTTGCACTAACGTCATCACAGAAAGTCAAGGGAAAAGCCATTATTAATTGAATCAATGAAGGTTGTGGAACTTGATTCAAATGAGGGGGATTCGAGTCTAGTGGGAAAGAATCTTCTATGAGAATCTAGTAGAGACGGGAAGAAAAAGCCTGATAGGCATTTAACATCTGGACTAAAATAATACAACTTGCACTGATGAAATACAAAACATTTTAAACATGCACATATAATAAGGTAACAAATATAAAAATGGATTGCAGCAATTCTGAGGAGCCAAATCTTCTTAATGTTTGTATACACTTACAGGGTGAAAACGAATACACAGTTGTGAAGAAACTCCATATATTACTCGAATGCAAAGGCCTTTTGAAATCTCCCATACTCGCACAGTTTTATCCATTGATGAGGATGCAATGTACTGATTGTTTGATGAGAAATCAAAGTCTGAAAATGAATTAGAATTTCAGAAACACGATCCAGAAACAAAACAAAGTTTGTTTTTATCAGTGCCTAAGAAAGGGGGAAAAAAAAAACTAGAAGATTTGCATCCAGTACAGAATTACGGACTCAATGTTGCATATCATGATTCTTTCGCCTTTCAGTCATCAGAACCATTTTGAACAACAGTAAATTTTTCAGTATACCTATTAATTTACTGCCACAAGTTGATTGGATTAACCAAAAATAAATAAAAATGTTGGTGGTACCAGAGTGTTTACTTGGAGCAAGGTGCTTAAGCCTAGGACTTCTTATGCTACCAGTCCGTACAATAAAAAAAAAAAAAATTGTACCATAAAAATCTACTTATTTATGGAGAACAGACAAAAAGGACTAGAGATATTATTATTGAAAATACGATAGAAAAAGACAACAGTAACAATACCAGTCAATCCAACCTGTAACATCTTTGGAGTGACCATGCAGATGTTTGAGGACTGATGGTGGATCAGAGACAGTGCATACTGTCAAGGTTCCGTCTGATGCTCCATATGCAAGCAGATCAGAACTCATGTGCCCAAACTTCAAAACCGTAACTGTACATAAAAACAAATGAGGTTTCTTCCTTTTTAAATGTTACATTCGCTCTCAACTTAGTAACACAACCAGGGGGGTCAATTGGTCTAGTACTTGCAGGAAAAAATTACCAGAGGCTTTGCACTGATCAAAGATGCAATGCATTCCGACAAACGAGTACGCAGGTTCAGCCCGACGATTACGTGGGCGGTCATTATCACTATTACTTGAGCCAAAACTTCTGCGAGGCGAAGGTTGACTGCCACTTTGGACGTCCTGTAAAGAAAAGAAGAACATGAACCCATGATCACAACCAAAAAGGGAAAAAAACAGTTAACAAAGTAAAATTCTAATTTTGCACTGTAATCCCAAATTTTGCCCAAGCGTCATCACATTTATAGCTCGGAAACTAAAACTCACATCTCCACATTCAAGCAAGGGAAATGGATGGGGATGAGCAACATATGCATATTATATAGGATTAACAAAACCCAGAAAGGAATGGAATTTGAATTACAGAAACACATACCCTGCCAGGGCTCCAGCTTTCGACATCATACAAAAGAGACCGTGGACTTGGAGGTGGAATCCATCGCCCACTGATGCATGAAGCAGTAAATTACCCTGATGTCAGCATACATTACGAATTTAAGAAAACAAAACAAAAAATTCACTAATTAAAAAAGATTAATTATGATTTCATCACAGTTTGGTTTGAGAGAGTAGCAAAGCAAAAGCTTGATATGAATTGATGGGTCGACGGACCTGTTTCCGGGAGTGGTTTGGAGGCTCGGAGTTTGCATATTTTCCCAATTCCTCGGCCTCCGGATGTAATTTCGAAACGCAACGTATCCTTTTCCATTGCATCTCCAATCCTTCAACGATCAAAATCAATACCAGCATGCATGAAATGAATGAATTTCTGAATTCTGTAAATTGTTGAACACAGAAGATGAAGAAGAAGAGGAGAAGAAGATTACAAGGCGGCGTTGAAATGGAGACTGGGGCTTGCGAGAGAGAAGAAGCCGACGAATACCGATGTAGTCGGGATCGGAGTCGGCGGGAGCAGGCTGAAGCAAGCAGATCAACAGCTGTGGATCTGCATTCTTCTTCTTCTTCTCCTTCTCTGGTGGAGCACAACTATCACCGTTGGCAATACCAATCTTCTTCTCCTCCTCTTCTGGAGCACCATCATTACCACCGTCGCCATTACCGGCCTTCTCTTCCGCCATCTGGGTTGTTTTGTGTTCTGGGTTTGGATTTAGCGTTGGCTACGTGTTTGCCTATGGAGGAGTATATAGTTTGACTCTGAGAGAAGAGTCTTAGGTGGGTCGTTGTTGTGGAACCGTTAGATGAGATGACACTGGATCTCATCCAACGGTTAAAAGGAAAGAAAAAAAACTTCTTCCCTTTTACTAGCAGACTCGAACTCCTCTGCTTTGAAACTTCAAATTTTTTTGGACATGTTCAAGACTTTTAGCCCAAGTTTTCAGACTTTTAAAATCTTAATCACCCGATGTAGGTAGATAGAGGAAGATAGAGAATCTGAAAAAGTAAGGTATTATGGGGATGTCGTGCTTAAAAGATAAAATAATATGGGCAACAAGTCAGAAAATAATTTAAAACAAACAAATTTGAAATAAAATTAAGTTTTTGAAATTTCAATTTTCTTTCGAAAAAAACGTTCAGAAAAATAAATCATGATTGTATAAACAAAATTTTCTCAAGAAAAATTAACCACAAATTTATTCTAGGTTAAAATCATTTTTAAAAAAATTAATAAATTTGCTAACTCAAATTTTAATTTTGCACTATTTGAAACTACTGTGTACATGAATAGTTCTATTTTATGAGGGGAAAATTTGGGATTGAGTCCGCTTGCATCGAAGATGATCTAAAGGTTTTTAACATGTTCAAAAAATGGTTAGATTTCCTATTTTCCCACAAGGCAATGGGTGAGGTTTGCTACATGCTCTAAGCTCTAATGGATAAGGTAACATGCAAGGCAACTTTGCCTCAATGTGTCTGGTAAGGCAACTTTGCCTTGGTAGTTGTTAAAAGAGATTGGTGAGTACAGCTGCACAGGTTAGGTTAGGTGATTTGAGCTATATTGATCTTGCATTGAGCTCTTTCTTATCTTAGTGAAGTTGTTTGCCTGGTCTTGGTGTGTACTTTTCAGAATGGTGGCTTTCTTTTGAATCATAAACTCAAAAAAGAGAGGAGCAAATTATATCACAAAGCAACCACAACAGGAAGTCAATGATTTAAGTTTTAATGTGCATTCGATCTCGGGAATCAATTTTTCGATGGTAAAAAGAGAGACAAGAAAAAGGGTACAAAGATTTTTGTGATTCAACCTCAATCCTATGTCCATGTTGAAGAGGATCATGCATAAAAGCACATGAAAATATATAGCCAGTGAAGAAAACATTGAATCTTCTAATAATACTCCTACATGATTCAGGCATTTAATTTATTGTTTCCATCAAGATCAGGTTCTTATGGACTTTGAATCATCAATGGTGTCTGTTGAAAAGCCATGTAGAATCAGCTTCTACAGCATATCCGTCTTGATTACGGTGCCAGCTAAAGTAAGCATGAGTTCTGTTCTTTATGTCAAAAATTCCATGACCAAAACTGGCCTCTCGGAAAAGTGAGTAATCTGGCTGTGGCTCTGTCATAGTGCACCACAAGAAAGAAACGAAAAAAGTCACACATTAAGCTATCAGGCAATGCTAACAAGCAGGAAATTCCTGTGTACTGATAAAATTCTTACATGGTCCATAAGCCTTCCAGATTTCCTCCATCACCAACCGTAACGTACACCGGCGCAGATTCATCTTTCACAGGAGTGCAATTTGCATTCACAACATTATATGCAACATTGGACACACGTTCCTGTGGTGTATACCAATTAAATCAGCATTTCTGCATTCTGCAAAATACTTTTTCCACAAAATGGTTTCTTATGCGTATATTGAGTACTTACAGATCGTTCATAGGCATGAACATGACCGTTAAATATGACATCAACTTTGTACTTGACAAACCACGGTTCAAACGTCACTCTTATGCCTTCTCCTTCCATGTAGTGCAAGTAGTAGCTATTATACCATGGACAATGCATTATAACAATCAACCAAGGTGTCTCACTCCTGTTAACTTTTGGTAGCTCTGTCTCGAGCCATTGGTACTGAGGAGTGCTTGGACCTTAAGAAAAAAGAAATGATATTTGACATGAAATTGCTGAAGCACTCAATTAATTTGAAAACATAGTACAGAAGATCTCACTACCAAATTAGAAATTAAAGACAGGACATCCTGCACAGAGTCGGACTATGTATATTGTATATATCCTCACCATATGCCGAATAAGAAGCCAAGACTATGATGTATGCCGAAGCTCTCTTGATTGAGTACCAAAATGGGGCAGTACTCCCTGATGCATTATATGGGACATAATACCGGTGAGTGTAAGGCTTAAAAGGTATTGTTTCACCCTGCAACAAAAGTACCAATCTTCTTTTAGCAAAGTACTTCATCTGATGACTTTCTTAGGATTTGAAAAATTCATTAAAAAAAAAGAAAAAAGAGAGCAGCAAATACTGGGATAAATTTAGTGGATGAGTAGAACTGTAAATAAACTAACAACAAAGGCATCATGTTTGAGGAAGATGCTATATTTCAAGTTCATTAGCCATTATACAGAATAGTGTACTTCTTTAGATTTCACACAATGCAGACCCTTCTTTCTCTTTGGTTGCCAAAGATGAGGATCATTCTTATAATGCAGGTATTCCTCACAACAAGTGTATACACAATTGTGAAAAAAAAAAGATCTAATCGAAGGCGAGAAAAGATAAACAAGAGTTCCAGACAAGCTAGTGTTGTTATGAGATGCTTACAAGTTCTGGGGCAAAATCAATCTCATGATTCCCTGCACTCCATATCCAAGGTTGATAAGCAGCACTTCTCTCAGTGAATCTCCCCAATGTATCCCATCTAACATTATCATGATATGGATAGTCATTTGCATAGGAGAGGTCCCCAAGATACAAAACTGTTTGTCCTTTGAGCGGATTTAATTCATAATGAGTAAGCGTCCTATTTGAATCGAAGGTCTGACCCAGATCACCTACAAATGATACCCCAAATGGTTGGTGATATATAGATTTTAACCACACACTGCAGCAAAACAATTTATAGTTGTGTCTCATCCATTATCTAGTTCCCAAGTTAAGGCCATAAAGCAGACTGTTTAAAATGGTAGACTTGCACACTAAGGAACAAGTTTCACAAGATTTGAGCAACAATTTTGTTTTTCAAGATGGAATGGAAGAGGGCCATTGGAACAAACCTTGTAACCCACTCAACAGCAACGAAATTACATTTGAATCACTGAGCCAAAACTTGAACCAAGTCTAACTAGCTACAGCATTTTATGATCCATCCTGTTTCGAAACAAAATACTGACCTATGAGACCAAATGTGTAAGGTACGTCCGGACCAACTTCAGGAGGAGTTGTAAACCAGAATTGCCTCTCAGTATTGCCTATTCCAACTACATAGTAATATGTGGTATTGAACTGCACAAGAATGTGAAGTAATTGGATCACACTACAGTCTTAAATACTTGGGCTGCATTCATACTTTCAATTGGAAAATTCCAAACCTGTTCTCCGGTACAGACTCCACAACCTATGCATTTGAAGAAAAAGAATATAATGCAAAGTACTTCATCTGATGACTTTCTTAGGATTTGAAAAATTCATTAAAAAAAAAAAGAGAGAGCAGCAAATACTGGGATAAATTTAGTGGATGAGTAGAACTGTAAATAAACTAACAACAAAGGCATCATGGTTGAGGAAGATGCTATATTTCAAGTTCATTAGCCATTATACAGAATAGTGTACTTCTTTAGATTTCACACAATCCAGACCCTTCTTTCTCTAATCGAAGACGAGAAAAGATAAACAAGAGTATAACTTTCCAGACAAGCTAGTGTTTTATGAGATGCTTACAAGTTCTGAGGCAAAATCAATCTCATGATTCCCTGCACTCCAGCACTTCTCTCAGTGAATCTCCCCCATGTATCCCATCTAACATTATCATGATATGGATAGTCATCTGCATAGGAGAGGTCCGCAAGATACAAAACTGTTTGTCCTTTGAGCGGATTTAATGCGTAATGAGTAAGCGTCCATTGTATACACATGAAGAAGCTAATCTCACCACACCCATCTTGGTCATATTGTCCCAGACGGGCCCCATTGAGCTATGGACCCTAATTTCCATTATATACACATGAAACAATAAATTAAAAGAATAAAATTCTATAACTTGTCACAGAATGTGGGGACTATTCAGAGCTCTATACGAATATACAGATTAGATGTCAAAGAGTCGAATCCAAAAACAAATAGGGTTTGCCTGGATTTTGTTCAGTTGCTATCTTTCTCGTAATTTAGTTGTCTTCTGGGGAAGACAAAATTGAGCATGAAAAGTGCATTGTTTGCATATATAAGAGAGAGAGAGAGAGAGAGAGAGAGAGAGAGAGAGAGACATAAGTGCATTCTTGTTTGATTATTCCTAGAGAAAATGGCATATGGTCAAGCTACTAGCGTCCAAGTCTAATCTACTATTCAGTGCAACCTTTGTTTCATGTAATTTAAAACTTGCCTTGCAAATCTTGTTTCTTTCTTTGGTTGGTGTTGTGACCTTTGATTTCTTCCGGTTGTCTTCCTTTATCGTGTGTTTGACCCTTTGCCTATGTTTTGCCGCTCGGCGTTTTCTCTTTGGTCTTGCCTTGGTGCAGTTTTATTTCCCTAGAGACAACATAAAAGCATTCTCTTGGAGTAGGAAAACAATGAGTATATTGGGTCCCAGCGGATTTATGCGAAGGAGTTTCTCATGTCTTAATCCGTATGTTACGTGAGAATAAAGTTTCGAATTTATGCGAAGGAGTTTCTCATGTCTATTGTACAGGATATTGAGAGTTTGTTTCATGATCTCCAAGTCACTGAACTCGGGCATATTGAATGAGCCATCTACTTTAGGGCATTACAGAGATAATGAAGATATCTATTTGGTTCTCTAGTTTTAAAGCCTCTATGGCTTGTAAGTATCAGAAACCCAAGGATATGATTGTCGTTGACAAGAATGTTTTACAGAGGAAGGTGGAAAGTATTTTCCATCTTTCTTTTATTAGCTGATACATTTGGGTATTTATTCAAGGGAACGATAGCAAATAAGGTCTTTTCATTTTTTCCATCATGTGGTGGCTTATGAGCCTCGTTCTAGTAGTGTTGGGCACTTGCAAACTCATTATCAGGATTATAATATCTGTTTAAAAACCACATAGAATCAGCTGTTACTGCATATCCATCTTGATTCCGGTGCCAACCATAGTATGCATGGGTTCGGTTCTTGATGTCGAAAGTAGCATGACCAAAACTGGCCTCTCTATAAGCTGAGTAAGCCGGCTGGGGTTCTGTCATACTGCATCACAAAAGAAAATTTTCATAGACTCAGTATGCAGTGCTAACAAAAGGCATTGAATCAGAAAACACCAATTCTATCTCGCATACTGACTTAACGCCAAATCTATCGCACATACTGACAGACTGAACATCAAATCTATAGCGCATACTGACACACTTAACACCAAATCTATCGCGCATACTGACATACTTAACACCAAATCTATCATGCACACTGATATACTTACTTGGTGGCTAAGACTTCAATATTTCCACCATCACCAATGGTAATGTAGACCGGTGCGGATTGATCTTTCACGGGAATGCAAATACCATTTACGATGTTGTATGCAACATTGGACATACGTTCCTGTTGTATACACAAATCAGTGAAATCACTTATCAAGTCCTGACATCTTGAATCTTGACAGTAGATGGAGGATGGTAAAAGGAAAAAAAAATAAAAATACAGTGTGCTTAGTATTAGGTATAGGCATTTCTGCAATGTACGTTCCCTGAAATGGGTTCCCTATACTTTATCGAAAGATAGATTAAAGTGTTCGATAAATCGGATCAATATGTTGAATTTAAAAATCTTTGTGGTACAAATAGAGACTATTTTGTTATACAATATATCCAGTTCTATGCAGAGCAGCACACCAAATCACAGGGACAAAGGCATGTATATAAAGTGATGTTATTTCTCACCATTAAATGCCTATGTGACACTTTTAACACATTGGTTGGAGATAAGAGCATCTCCAACCAATGTGTTAAAAGTGTCACATAGACATTTAATGGCTAGAAATAACATCTCATATCACTCCAACCGATGTGTCAAAATTGATGTGGAATGAAGGCTAAATGTTGAGATGTTATTTTTGACATCCCAAAAGCAAGATGTCAAATGAATATTTTATTATTTTTAAAAGATAGTTGGCTGTTACTTTCATTTATTATTTTCCTTTTTTTTTTCTTCTTTATCTTAAATAATTTGATAGTTACAATAATTATTTATTTGACATATATGGTGGAGTGTAAAACTGTGTAAATGTTAAATTGCCACATCAGCCATCAAATTTAAATTTGATGTTTGATATTTGACATTACATATTGGTTTACAGCAATCTAGGCACATTAATTAAAAAATAATAATGAAATAATGAAATAACATCACAAGGTCAAACAATAAAAAATAACAGCAAGAGAGAGAAATGCATAAGATCTTTTCATTTTCACATTTCCTGTCATATTGTCGTTGACAAGAATGTTTTACAGAGGAAGGTGGAAAGTATTTTCCATCTTTCTTTTATTAGCTGATACATTTGGGTATTTATTCAAGGGAACGATAGCAAATAAGGTCTTTTCATTTTTTCCATCATGTGGTGGCTTATGAGCCTCGTTCTAGTAGTGTTGGGCACTTGCAAACTCATTATCAGGATTATAATATCTGTTTAAAAACCACATAGAATCAGCTGTTACTGCATATCCATCTTGATTCCGGTGCCAACCATAGTATGCATGGGTTCGGTTCTTGATGTCGAAAGTAGCATGACCAAAACTGGCCTCTCTATAAGCTGAGTAAGCCGGCTGGGGTTCTGTCATACTGCATCACAAAAGAAAATTTCCATAGACTTAGTATGCAGTGCTAACAAAAGGCATTGAATCAGAAAACACCAATTCTATCTCGCATACTGACTTAACGCCAAATCTGTCGCGCATACTGACAGACTGAACATCAAATCTATAGCGCATACTGACACACTTAACACCAAATCTATCGCGCATACTGACATACTTAACACCAAATCTATCATGCACACTGATATACTTACTTGGTTGCTAAGCCTTCAAGATTTCCTCCATCACCAATGGTAATGTAGACCGGTGCGGATTGATCTTTCACGGGAATGCAAATACCATTTACGATGTTGTATGCAACATTGGACATACGTTCCTGTTGTATACACAAATCAGTGAAATCACTTATCAAGTCCTGACATCTTGAATCTTGACAGTAGATGGAGGATGGTAAAAGGAAAAAAAAATAAAAATACAGTGTGCTTAGTATTAGGTATAGGCATTTCTGCAATGTACGTTCCCTGAAATGGGTTCCCTATACTTTATCGAAAGATAGATTAAAGTGTTCGATAAATCGGATCAATATGTTGAATTTAAAAATCTTTGTGGTACAAATAGAGACTATTTTGTTATACAATATATCCAGTTCTATGCAGAGCAGCACACCAAATCACAGGGACAAAGGCATGTATATAAAGTACTTACAGATCGTTCATAGGCATGGACATGACCAGCAAATACCACGTCAACCTTGTACTTCACAAACCATGGCTCATACATCACTCTCATGGTTTCGCCTTCCATATAGTGATAGTTGTAACTATTATACCATGGTGCATGCATTAAAACAATCAACCATGGTGTCTCACTTCTGTTAACCTTTCGTAGCTCCTGCTCAAGCCAAAAGTACTGAGGAGTGTATTTACCTTGAAAACGGAAACAATATGTTAAATGAAATTGCTGAAGGACTCAGCTTAACACAGACGTTATAAATGTGACCTCTCTACAGAGTCAGAAATTGACTGGAGGTTCTGTGGAGAACAAGAAATTCTAATTGGTGTACATGATAATTTGGAAGCAAAATCCTATCATTTTAAAAACAGCCGGTACAAAATATCTGTATGATATAACTTACACAATCAGTCCATGATGTCATTTACAGATATGAATACGGTATACTGCTGTAAAAATCCATGAAAAAAAGAGCTTACTATTTAAAGTTTATTGTGGATTCCAACCCCCAAACCACCCAAAAATTAGCAGGGACCACAGGAGCTGATGTAACAAAGGCAAGGAGTATCCAGTTATGTCTTTATCTTTTCTATTTTTCCTTTTTTTTTTTTGGATCGAAGTATGTCTTTATCTATTTATTTCAAGATGACATTTGTAATAAATTTATGGGTGGCAAAGTTATGCATTTGATATTCAGAAAAGAAAATTTTGAATGATGTTAATATATTAACCAAAACATAAATGTATATCCTTACCATATGCTGAATAAGAAGACAAGACTATGATGTATGCTGAAGCTCTCTTGATTGAGTACCAAAAGGGAGCAGTACTCCCTGATGCTTTATATGGGACATGATATCGGTGAGTGTAAGGCTTAAAAGGTTTGGTTTCACCCTGCAACAAAAGTTCCTATCTTCTTTTAGAAAATGCTTCATCCAATGACTTCTTTGGGACATGGAAATGCATAAACAAAATGATCAGTAGATACTGGGTTAAATTTTGTCAAATACAAGATATTTGGAAGGACAAGCACACGTACATATACAAGTAATACTAAAGACAGATTATATAAATACAAATGATCTCATCTAAGACCAGAAATGGCAAATGAGAGCATAAGCTCACTTTTTAGAGCAACCAGTTGTTTTATGAGATGCTTACAAGTTCTGGGGCAAAATCAATTTCATGATTCCCTGCAGTCCATATCCAGGGTTGATACGCAACACTTCTCTCGGTGAATCTTCCCCATGTATCCCACCAGACATTATCATGATTTGGGTGGGTATCTGCATAACAGAGGTCCCCAACAAACAATACTGCTTGTCCTTTCTGTGGGTTTAACTCGTAATGAGTAAGCGTCTTATTGGAATCAAAGCTCTGACCCAGATCCCCTGAAAATGATACATCATGGTAAAATGTTATTTAGATTTAAGAAAGTACACTAGAGTAGAACAATTTACATTTCACAAACACAGGCAATTGCGTCTCATCGATTATGTAGTTCCCAAGTTAAGGAAAGCTGTTTCAAATGACAGACTTGCACACTAAGGGACAAGTTTCATAAAATAAAGAACTCTAATTTGGTTTGGTATCATTCAAGATGAACGTAGGAGGCTCGTTGCAACACCTCTAAGCTAGTCAATAGCATGAAATTTCCTTTTTAATCCAATGCCAAAAGTTGAACCAGATGTAAATAGCTACATTACTTTACAATGCATCCTGCTCTGATACGAAATACTCACCTATGAGACCAAATGTGTAAGGGACGTCTGGCCCAACTTCAGGAGGAGTTATAAACCAAAACTGCCGCTCAGTGTGGCCAATGCCAACCACATAGTAGTATTTGGTATTGAACTGTGCAAGAACGTATAGGATTAGTTCACACTACAATTTGTAAATTACACTTAACTGCAATCATCATTAGAATCAGCAAATTCTACAATCAACCTACGCATTTGAAGGAAAAAGAAATAAGGCAAAAAGCACATGAGCATATCAAGTTTACCTTTAAATTTCTGATGGTCGTGTGATGAATGTAACCAGAAGTGTAATTGTAGAATTTATAGGTTGTAACTTTGCCCTCAGATTTCTGTTTCTTGCTGTATGCGCTCCAGTAAAGCACTGTATTGGAACCTGGTTCCTCCACCGTGACCCATGACACAATCATGGCTTTTCCCAGCTGGTCGCCTTGTGTTATATGTACCTTAAATCAAAGATCAGACAGATATCAAAATTAAATTAAATCACTAAAAACTACACCTATTAATCAGTCAATCCCATCAAGAAGAAAGCAAATTATGAAGTAAGCCATCAATTTTCAATAAATAAATAAAAAATTTATATAAAAGATATTCAATTAAATAAAGGTTCTTTTATGGTTCCAATAAAAGTTGTCTTAATTATACTGAGAGAGAGAGAGATCATACTTGTTGAGGTGCATTATAGCCAGGAGGGACTTTAAAGACATCACTGTCGAGAGGCATGACCCCAGATTTCTCCACTTTCCTCACAAAACTACTTGTCTTGCCTCCATTACACACCACTGCCAAGCTCAAAACAAAACCCAACACTACAACAATGGCTGCTGCTTCCCTGGAAGAAGAACCCATCTTGGCCATGTTTTGCAGAGGACCCTCAAAACCCACGAATCCACAGACAGCCTACTGAGCTTAGGACAAGCATTTCCTTTATATAGACTTGAAATGAGTTCACTAAGAAAGAAAAAAAAAAGATTTTCCATAAAATGAGGGGAATATTCATGGCTCTTTGCGGATAACAGAGATTTGCAGTCAAAGTATTGAAATTTCAATGCTAAATCTGGTTGTGGGTGCTGCCTGAATTTTCTTTAGTAAGAGCATCCATAATGGGCTCTCTAAACCATCTCCTTAGATAAATTTTAGGGAGGAATCATAAAAATGCAACTCCAACCACACTCCCTATCCACATCCTAAAATAGGAAGTCCTCTAGGAGCTCCTAGATCTGAGGAGAGAGAAGGGACTCCTAGTGACTCCCTATAATTTAATGCTGCTTTATTTAATGAGTATTTCAAACTTTTATTTAATGTTAACTATTTTTTATTTTATTTTATAATAGAGATGGACTAATTAAAAAAGAGTTAAAACATTTATGACTCTTCAAATTAGAGAGTATGATTGGAGTTGAGATTTTTTAGAGAGCTCTTAAAATAGCTTTATTATATTCTTAACCAAAATTTAGCTAAGAAATAGAGAGCATAATTGTGGATGCTCTAATTGTGTGTTGCTTGGGAATTTAAGAGGGGCAATTTGGGTTTCGCGGAAAATAATGATGATGGGATATAGTTTGTTTTTTTCTTTGATAGGAGTAAGTTGTTGACTTTGGAGTTTTCGGAGAAAATGAAGTGTGGAAAGTTCATACTTCATTGTTTGACTGACTGACCGACATAGAAGACAAGTCAACTTAGAAGACAAGCCGAGTTTGTTTTGTTTATATAGAGTTTGAAATGTTAAATATCGAACATTAAAAATTTGAATCTGATGATGGCTTAAGTAAAAATTTGACATATAATAGTTTTTTTAACGTTTCACCACCAGATGTGTTAAATTAAAATATTATTTTATTAGGTATTATTTATTAGTTTACAATAATTTAGATATATTAATTGAAAAATAATAATAAAATAATAAAATAATATCACAAGGTCAAACAGACAAAAATAACAGCAAGAGAGATGCGTAAGATCTTTTCATTTTTACATTTGGATATTCTTGTTATATTGTCATTGACAAGAATGTAGAAGTTCCTACTTACAAAGAAGAAGTATTTTTCATCTTTCTTTTATTAGCTGAAACATTTTGGTATTTATTCAAGAGAACGATAGCAAAATAAGGTCTTCTCATTTTTTTTTCCATGACGAGGCTTCTGAGCATTTTTCTAGTTGTGTTGGGCACTTGTAGAATCATCATCAGGATGATAATATCTGTTAAAAAACCACATAGGATCAGCTGTTACTGCATATCCATCTTGATTCCGGTGCCAACCATAGTAAGCATGGGTTCGGTTCTCGATGTTGAAAGTAGCATGGCCAAAACTGGCCTCTCTAAAAGATGAGCAAGCTGGCTGTGGTTCTGTCATACTGCATCACAAAAGGAATAAGGAATTTTTCATAGACTCAGTAAGTGTACAAATTTCCTCACGAGAATATTCGATTGAAAATATTCATCTTTCTTCTTCGCCGCCTCCTTCTCCTTGCAAAATAGAACCAATAAGAGGACCACACCTGGGGATATTGGCCAAAGGCCCTCCGGGTGTGGTCCTCTTATTGGTTCTATTTTGCAGGAAGAAGGAGGCGGCGAAGAAGAAAGGGGAATATTTCCAATCGAATATTCTCGTGGGGAAATTTGTACACTCAAATTGGTGCTTTCATTGAAAGCACCAATTTGAGTGTACAAATTTCCCCACGAGAATATTCAGTTGCAAAGATTCTTCTTCCTTCTCCGCCTCTTTCTCCCTGTAAAATAGAACAAATGAGAGGGCCACACCCGGGGGGTGTTGGCCAAAGGCCCTTCGATGCCTAAATTAGTTCAATTGAATCGTATAGAAAACAATAGCTAACTAGTGTATGGAGATGTGTTTAGGGTGTAAACCGGGCTGCCGGAGCCTTGTGTAAAAGAGAGAGAGAGAAAGGAGGTGGCTAGGGTTTGAGAGGAATTTTCTGCAGAGTTTCAGTAGGGATTTCAGACGTACCTCAACCCTTGTGTGTGGCTATGCTTTTATAATGGTCTTGGAGGCTAGGGTTTCAGAGGAATAATTCCGTAGATGGAAAGGAATTATTCATCCCCTTTTTGGAATTGATTTGATTAATTTGAGATTTGATTTATTAGGGTAAATCAAATCCCTAATTGTGATAGGTATCAAATCAAATCCTAATTCAATTAGGTAACTCCTCATTTAATTGGGAATCGTGGTAATTAATCAAATCAATTCTTAACCAAATTAGGCAACGTTCAATTTAATTGGGTAACTCCCAATCAGGTTAATTAATTCCCAATTAGATCAAATAATCCCCAAATGGAATGAATTATTTGACCTAGGGTTTTGATTTAATTTGGTTACCACACTCAGTATGCAATGCTGACAAATACTTACGGAAATGAATCAGAAAACACCAAATCTATCACGCATACTAATATACTTACTTGGTTGCTAAGCCCTCAATATTTCCTCCATCACCAATGGTAATGTAGACCGGTGCGGAATGATTTTTCACGGGAATGCAAATACCATTTACGATGTTGTATGCAACATTGGATATACGATGCTGTGGTATACACAAATCAGTGACTTATCAAGTTCTGACATCTTGAATCTTGAGAGTAGATGGAGGATGTTAAATTAAAACAAATACAGTGTGCTTTAGTATTAGGTATAGGCATTTCTGCAATGTACTTTTCCTCAGATGAGTTTGGTATTTTCTCTCGAACGATAAAAATTTTCAATAAATCGGATCAATATGTTGAATTTAAAAATCTTCTATGTTAGTTCTATGCAGATCACCAAATAACTGGGAAAATATTTGCATTTTATGGACATGGCCAGGGTATGTATATGAAGCACTTACAGATCGTTCATAGGCATGGACATGACCAGCAAATACCACGTCAACCTTGTACTTCACAAACAATGGCTCATACATCACTCTCATGGTTTCTCCTTCCATATAGTGAGTGGTGTAGCTATTATACCATGGTGAATGCATTAAAACAATCAACCATGGGGTCTCACTTCTGTTAACCTTTGGTAGCTCCTCCTCAATCCATCTGTTCTGAGGAGTGTATTTACCTTAAAAAGGAAATGATATGGAAATGAAATTGTTGAAGCACTTGCTTCAACACAGACATTGCAAATGTGGCCTATGTACAGAGTTAAGGAATTGACTGGACATTCTGTGGAGAAAAGGAAATTCTAATCGGTATACAGTGTACACGATAATCTTGGAAAAAAATTCCATCATTTTAAAACAGAGTCATTACAGAATATCACTAAGGTATAGTTTGAGCAATCAGTACTAATGTTCTAAAGAATTTACATGATGTCATTTGCAGAGATGAATACAACAATATACTACTGTAAAAATCCATGAAAACAAGAGATAACAATTTCACGTTATTGGGGATTCCAACCTCCGAAACTACGCAAAAATTCAGTATAAAAAGGAGCAAAAGAGGAGCTGATGTAAAAAATGCAAGGAGCATCCAGAAAAGTTATGCATTTGATATTCAGAAAAGGAAATTTTGAAACAGTATCTTCTGCTGCATATGTGCATAGGCCTTTTGTACGATGTTAATATATTAATCAGAACACACACACACACACACACACACACATATATATATATATATATATACATATACGTGTATATATTTATGTATAACCTTACCATATGCCGAATAAGAAGATAAGACTATGATGTAAAATTTGGGATTGAGTTCGCTTGCATCGAAGATGATCTAAAAGTTTTTAACATGTTCAAAAAATGGTTAGCTTTCTTATTTTCCCACAAGGCAATGGGTGAGGTTTGCTACATGCTCTAAGCTCTAATGGATAAGGTAACATGCAAGGCAACTTTGCCTCAATGTGTCTGGGAAGGCAACTTTGCCTTGGTAGTTGTTAAAAGAGATTGGTGAGTACAGCTGCACAGGTTGGGTTAGGTGATTCGAGCTATACTGATCTTGCATTGAGCTCTTTCTCATCTTAGTGAAGTTGTTTGCCTGGTCGGTTTGACGACCCCAAATTTTGAGCTATTTCTTATCTTTTCAGTGAAGTTTTTTACCTAGTCGGATGAATGACCCCGAGTTTTTCTATTGTTGGGTTTCTGGGTGACCATTTGTGTGTATCTACCTATAATTTACTTCAACCTTTTTTCCTTTAATTTGCATTGTTTGAATCACTCTTAATATTTTAACTCGGCCCAGATTAATCGCAAAACCTTTTAACCACACCCCATTAGAATTTCTGATAACCCTCCCAGCACTAACACTTCCCACATCACCAATGCAACTGCCATCAACATTCAGCTTTAACAATCCAAGACAAGGGGAGACCATCTGTTGCAGAATGGTGGCTTTCTTTTGAATCATAAACTGAAAAAAGAGAGGAGCAAAAAAAAGAATGGTATAATAGAGATGCAGAAAATGAGTTGCTACCAATGCAAATTATATCACAAAGCAACCACAACAAGAAGTCAATGATTTAAGTTTTAATATGCATTCGATATCGGGAATCAATTTTTTGATGGTAAAAAGAGAGACAAGAAAAAGGGTACAAAGATTCATGTGATTCAGCCTCAATTCTATGTCCATGTTGAAGAGGATCATGTATAAAAGCATATGAAAATATATAGCCAGTGAAGAAAACATTGAATCTTCTAATAATACTCATACATTCAGGCATTTAATTTACTGTTTCAATCAAGATCAGGCTCTTATGGACTTTGAATCATCAACAGGATAATTGTGTCTGTTGAAAAGCCATGTAGAATCAGCTTCTACTGCATATCCGTCTTGATTACGGTGCCAGCTAAAGTAAGCATGAGTTCTGTTCTTTATGTCAAAAATTCCATGACCAAAACTGGCCTCTCGGAAAAGCGAGTAATCTGGCTGTGGCTCTGTCATACTGCACCACAAGCAAAGAAAAATAAAAGTCACACATTAAGGAATCAGGCGATGCTAACAAGTAGGAACTTCCCTCATACTGATAAAATTCTTACACGGTCGATAAGCCTTCAAGATTTCCTCCATCACCAACTGTAACGTACACCGGTGCAGATTGATCTTTCACAGGAGTGCAATTTGCATTCACAACATTATATGCAACATTGGACACACGTTCCTGTGGTGTATACCAATTAAATCAGCATTTCTGCATTATGCAAAATACTTTTCCACCAAATGGTTTCTTATGCGTATATTGAGTACTTACAGATCGTTCATAGGCATGAACATGACCGTTAAATACAACATCGACTTTGTACTTGACAAACCACGGTTCAAACGTCACTCTCATGCCTTCTCCTTCCATGTAGTGCGAGTAGTAGCTATTATACCATGGACAATGCATTATAACAATCAACCAAGGTGTCTCACTCCTGTTAACTTTTGGTAGCTCTGTCTCGAGCCATTGGTACTGAGGAGTGCTTGGACCTTAAGAAAAAGGAAATGATATGTAACATGAAATTGCTGAAGCACTCAATTAATTTAAACACATAATACAGAAGATCTCACTACCAAGTTAGAAATTAAACACCAGGAGATCCTGCACAGAGTCGGACTATGTATATGTATATTGTATATATCCTCACCATATGCCGAATAAGAAGCCAAGACTATGATGTATGCCGAAGCTCTCTTGATTGAGTACCAAAATGGGGCAGTACTCCCTGATGCATTATATGGGACATAATACCGGTGAGTGTAAGGCTTAAAAGGTATTGTTTCACCCTGCAACAAAAGTACCAATCTTCTTTTAGCAAAATACTTCATCTGATGACTTTCTTAGGATTTGAAAAATTCATAAAAAAAGAAGAAGAAGCAGCAAATACTGGGATAAATTTAGTGGATGAGTAGAACTGTAAATAAACTAACAACAAAGGCATCATGGTTGAGGAAGATGCTATATTTCAAGTTCATTAGCTATTATACAGAATAGTATACTTCTTTAGGTTTCACACAATGCAGACCCTTCTTTCTCTTTGGTTGCCAAAGACGAGGATCATTCTTATAATGCAGGTATTCCTCACGACAAGTGTATACACAATTGTGAAAAAAAAAGATCTAATCGAAGACGAGAAAAGATAAACAAGAGTTCCAGACAAGCTAGTGTTGTTATGAGATGCTTACAAGTTCTGGGGCAAAATCAATCTCATGATTCCCTGCACTCCATATCCAAGGTTGATAAGCAGCACTTCTCTCAGTGAATCTCCCCCATGTATCCCATCTAACATTATCATGATATGGATAGTCATTTGCATAGGAGAGGTCCCCAAGATACAAAACTGTTTGTCCTTTGAGCGGATTTAATTCATAATGAGTAAGCGTCCTATTTGAATCAAAGGTCTGACCCAGATCACCTACAAATGATACCCCAAATGGTTGGTGATATATAGATTTTAACCACACACTGCAGCAAAACAATTTATAGTTGTGTCTCATCCATTATCTAGTTCCCAAGTTAAGGCCATAAAGCATACTGTTTAAAATGGTAGACTTGCACACTAAGGAACAAGTTTCACAAGATTTGAGCAACAATTTTGTTTTTCAAGATGGAATGGAAGAGGGCCATTGGAACAAACCTTGTAACCCACTCAACAGCAACGAAATTACATTTGAATCACAGAGCCAAAACTTGAACCAAGTCTAACTAGCTACAGCATTTTATGATCCATCCTGTTTCGATACGAAATACTGACCTATGAGACCAAATGTGTAAGGTAAGTCCGGACCAACTTCAGGAGGAGTTGTAAACCAGAATTGCCTCTCAGTATTGCCGATTCCAACTACATAGTAATATGTGGTATTGAACTGCACAAGAATGTGAAGTAATTGGATCACACTATAGTCTTAAATACTTGGGCTGCATTCATACTTTCAATTGGAAAATTCCAAACCTGTTCTCCGGTACAGACTCCACAACCTATGCATTTAAAGAAAAAGAATATGATGCAAAACATAAAGGACATGAAATTTACCGATAAATTTCCAATAGTGCAGTGGTGAATGTATCCAGAAGTGTAATTGTAGAATGTATAGGTTGTAACAACGCCCTCAGCCATCTGATTCTTGCTATCTGCACTCCAGTAAATCACCCCACTATAGCCTGGTTCATCAGCAGTGATCCAAGACACGATCACTGCGTTACCCTGATGGTCTCCTTGTGTTATATGAACCTTAACTCAAGAGCACACACATATCAGAAACTACACCTACTAATCAATCCCATCATGAAGAAAAATAAAAATATGAAGTAAGCCATAAATTTTCGAAGACAAGAACTACATTGACAAAGCTCTCTCCAGGGGAGGTAATATAGTTGAACTACCATCGGCTAAAAGTAACTTAATTCCAATGAGAGGATGGAGATTATACTTGTTGAGGTGCATTATGGCCAGGAGGGACTTGAAAGACATCACTGTCAAGCGGCATATCTGCGCTGTATTTAATTGTCCTCACAAAAGTGCTTGTTATACCTCCATTGCAGACCACTGCCAAGTTCAAGACCAATCCCAATACTGCAACAATGGCTACCATTGAAGAAGCAGAAGTAGAAGAAGCTAATCTCACCACACCCATCTTGGTCATGTTGTCTAACCCGGACAGGCCCCATTGAGCTATGGACCCTAATTTCCTTTATATACACATGAAACAATAAATGAAAAGAATAAAATTCTATAACTTGTCACAGAATGTGGGGACTATTCAGAGCTCTATACGAATATACAGATTAGATGTCAGTTGCTATCTTTCTTGTAATTTAGTTGTCTTCTGGGGAAGACAAAATTGAGCATGAAAAGTGCATTGTTTGCATATATAATATATATATATATATATATATGAGAGAGAGAGAGAGAGAGAGAGAGAGAGAAACATAAGTGCATTCTTCTTTGATTATTCCTAGAGAAATAGCATATGGTCAAGCTACTAGAGTCTAGTCTAATGTACCATTCAGTGCAACCTTTGTTTCATGTAATTTAAAACCTGCCTTGCAAATCTTGTTTCTTTCTGTGGTTGGTGTTGTGACCTTTGATTTCTTCTGGTTGTCTTCCTTTTTTTGACCCTTTGCCTTTGTTTTGCCGCTCGGCGTTTTCTTGTCTTGTCTTGGTGCAGTTTTGTTTCCCTAGAGACAACACAAAAGCATTCTCTTGGAGTAGGCATTCAAGTAAGCAAAATTTACAATATTCCCTGCCTACCTGGAAAATAATGAGTATATTGGGTCCGAGCGGAATGATGACCAACTTTCTTGATGAGTCAAATGAGTACACAACATGTTACCTAGTTGTTAAAATACAACTAGGTAACAACTATATTACCTTGAAGATGCTCACTTTTGTAATTGCATTTATACCTTATGGTTATGTGAAAATAGCTGGATCTATACGTATATTACCTTCTGGATTTTGTTATGTGCTTGAAGCTGAAGCCCTATTGGTTTAAAATATATGTTAACTTGGGCTCAAAGATTAGGAATTTCGGATTTATGAGTCGAAGGAGATTCTCATGTCTTAATCCATATGTTACATGAGAATAAAGTTTCGAATTTATGCGTTTGTGTCTATTGTACAGGATATTGAGAGTTTGTTTCATGATCTCCAAGTCACTAAACTCAGGCATATTGAATGAGCCATCTACTTTAGGGCATTACAGAGATAATGTAGATATCTATTTGGTTCTCTAGTTTTAAAGCCTCCATGGCTTGTAAGTATCAGAAACTCAAGGATATGAAGCAGATCCTCCTTCTATTAGGTTTTTCTTTTTCTTCAAAAAGTACAAAATAAATGAGATTCAAATTTGTAAGAGTTGGGGGAAGGTATAAACTATTGAATCTTTTATTAGCTGATACATTTGGGTGCTTATTCAAGAGAACAATAGCAACATAACGTCTTCTAATTATTGGGCACTTGTGGAATCATCAACAGGATGATAGTATCTGTTGAAAAACCACATAGAATCAACTGTTACTGCATATCCATCTTGATTCCGGTGCCAACCATAGTATGCATGGGTTCGGTTCTTGATGTCGAAAGTAGCATGACCAAAACTGGCCTCTCTATAAGCTGAGTAAGCCGGCTGGGGTTCTGTCATACTGCATCACAAAAGAAAATTTCCATAGACTTAGTATGCAGTGCTAACAAAAGGCATTGAATCAGAAAACACCAATTCTATCTCGCATACTGACTTAACGCCAAATCTGTCGCGCATACTGACAGACTGAACATCAAATCTATAGCGCATACGGACACACTTAACACCAAATCTATCGCGCATACTGACATACTTAACACCAAATCTATCATGCACACTGATATACTTACTTGGTTGCTAAGCCTTCAAGA